CAACTCAGCGTGAGTGGGCAGGGCCCGGACAAGAGGGTGCCCTTACCATCCCCCATCGTGTACTTCTTTTCCTCGTAGCTTGAGTCTGTGTATTCCAGGAGCAGGCGGATGGCGTGAGCCAGCTGGGAGACATGGCCCGCCGCTCGGGTCAGAGCTGGAGTGTCCCTGACTTGGTGACTTTCTCTGCACCAGGGGAGCCCCCAGTCTACACTGCACGCACCCGTTGCCCTCTGCTTCTCCCCCTTGTCCCCCCCCCACACACCAACCCCCTCCGCAGGAATGCACATGCCCTCCTGTGAGTGGCAGCCCTGAAGAGGAATCGTCCCCAGAGCCTGTTCCCAGCCGCTCGACACTTCCCAGCCACAAGCCCCAGTCCCACCGTCCAGCGGACCCTCACTGACCCCGCGGATGTCCCAGTACCCCAGTGTCATGGACATGGTGCTGGTTGCTGCAGATTCTGCAGAGAAGCCTCAGCTGGGCTGAACTGCCACCTACTCCGGGGGTGCGTGCGCGTGCAGGGGCAGGGCCTAGCGCCAGACCCGCCCCTCGGTCCCGCGGCTCCCGCCGATCTTCAGGGTCGTCACTTCCAACCGGCTCCAGAGACCTGCAGACCCGGGAAGCCCGTAGCAGGTCGCTGGATCCTCCTGGCGGGAAGGAGTAAGATCCACCGCCACCTCAGAGGGTTCCGGGAGGGGGGTCAGGAAGCCCCAGGCGGGCTCGGCCTCGCCAGCTTCCGTAGCCCCGCCCCCCCCCCCCCCCGCCCCGCCCCGCCCCCGTTCAGCCCTCTGCTCGGTATCCAGGGACTTGGCTGTGCCGTTTAGAGTCAAGCCAGATCCTAAGAGCAAATTTCTTCCTCCTTTATTTCTCCCGACGTCGCCCAGCCTTCCGCCTGTCGGCTGCCGAGTTCCCACGAGCTCTGGGAGACTGAGGCTGCCAGAGTCAGACCAAAGACAAGTCTCAGAGAATTTAATTCAGCCCTTCCTGGCCTACTAAGTCTTAGAAGTCTGATGGAGTGCTCTCTCTGTTGAGTTGGGGAGGGTGGGTGGAGGCTGTGTCATCGACGATGGCAGAGCTCAGGCTCTGTTGCAGAAGCTCCCGACCCTTTTGCACTGGGCCAGTTCCCCAGCTCTGAGACTTGGTCCAAGCTCAGGAAGTGGCCTCTGTGTCAATGTAGGTTTGCCCACAGCAAGGCGATAGCACCACGGAGACCCAAGTGCTTGGACTTCTGAATAGTTATACTTCTCATTATACATTAAGACATTAATGTATAATAATAATTACTTATTGTTATTATTAATATGCATTAATTGTGTGCCTTAATATACATTAATGTCTGTACTTTGGCCACCTATTGGAAGTCAGGTGGGAACTACAGGGGAGAGATTTTGAAAATATGGGACACATCAGTGTTTTTGCACACCCAGAGGCAGTGGAGTGGGAGAGGGGTTGAGTGCAGGAGAGAGAAGCAGTGCCTACAGCCACAGGGACTCTGTGGAGCCAGGAAGACGGGGCCCAGGGCCCAGGTGACTTCTTTAGAAGGAGGAGAACAGCTCTGCAGAAAGCGGGAAGGACTGGACCAACAGGCTCTTCAAAGCAGGGGTCACAGTGGGCTCGAGGATCACACCGGCGGGGGGAGTGGGTCTGTGGAGGCGGATCCGGAGCAGTGGGGATGAGGGAGGCGGAAGTGGTGCCCTGGGGAAGAATGTATGGCTGTTGTTGTCAGGTGGTTTTCTGCGTATCTATGAGGTCTAACTGGTTCACTGTGTTGTTCACATTCTGTATTTCCTCACTTACCTTCTGTTTCAGCCTTTCCACAATTGAAAGAAGCGTTTGGAAGCCACCCATTGTTCATGTAGAACTATCTATTTCTCCCTTCAATTCTGTCCAATTTTGCTGCATATAACTTGTTTTATTCCTACTATGGGAATTGCATCCTGTATGACAGAGAAATCAGTTATGCTTCCTGGGCAGTCTACCAGATTATCTGTGCTTTCCTCATTTTAGAAGTGTCTGAATATCTTTTTAAAGAAAGCATGATTTCCTGGTGGGATGGTAGTTTTAAATATCTGGCAATCTCAAAAAGTCATTGGAATCACAGGTAAGTTACTGTTCAGTGGACAGAATGAGCCTGATGTCATGTAAGAAACAGCATTTTAGCGGAGCACTGATCTCACTGGTATTAAGTATCATTCACTGCCGGGTGCTGTGGCTCAAGCCTGTAATCCCAGCACTTTGGGAGGCCAAGGCGGGTGGATCACGAGGTCAAGGGATCGAGACCATCCTGGTCAACATGGTGGAACCCCGTCTCTACTAAAAATACAAAACATTAGCTGGGCATGGTGGCACGTGCCTGTAATCCCAGCTACTCAGGAGGCTGAGGCAGGAGAATTGCCT